TCTCCCTGGTAGAAACCTAAGCATGATTGCATTGGACTGGTTAAAACTGTTCATACGGAGGGAGAGATCATAAACTGAGAGACACCCTGTTGCAAAGCAAGCTGCTTCAACCACGTTTGTGAGATTTCTTCACACACTTGTGTTGGAGGAAGCATGTGGCTGACTAGGCAAATCCCTTCAGGCTCCTGGCAGCCTCTCCTTTAATGAGGAAAAATCGGAACTAGAGCTGTTGCCCAGATCAGAACATATCCATATCTGGGGAATTTTTCAATGTGATCCCTAAACTTAGTACTTTCTACAGCACTTCCAGTATGATACCACCAAGCTGTAGGTGCTCTCAGGTCCATATGCAAGCACAAACCCAGGGAGTGGAGCGAGCAAGCAAAGGAGGGCCCTGCTCAGCTGCCAGCTGCTCCACAGATGTTGCATGGGGCAGCACGGGCCTGGCATTTGCATCTTTCTCCTCCTGGATGTATGGACTCTGCCCCCAAGTGTCCAGTGTGAGGAAGGGAGCCCGCCTTTGGGGCACATATGACTGATAGCAATTGTGTTTCCAGGACAAGCCCATACTGTGCGAGGCAGGTTTCAGCCTTTGCGAGCAGTGCTATTTGACCCTTACACAGACCATTCATTCCTGTCATACAAAAGCAAGTCTTGTTTAATTCCCTGTTGATGAAAGACGTGGAGCAAAGGGAAGGTCGGAAACAGAAGCCACTTTCTCATATAGCCGAGTAGCTGGGTGACAACTGCCCTCTGTTCTCCACTCCCTCCCTCCCTCCGCCTCCCAAAGGGAGCAGACAAAGGATGTGTCATGATCTGCTTTTGGAAAAAAAAAAAAAGAGGGTTTGACATCTCTGTCAGTAAAGCAGTGTGTGGAAAGCAGAGCTTCTCGCATCCTTCTGGGCTGGAGATTAATATTTGCTGTTGTGAATGACAGCACATAGAGATCTGCCCTGGTCAGTGCTTGTCAAGTGATGGGGTTTGCCCTGACGCTCCCTCCTCAACCAGATTGGTTTCTGAACCACAGCAGTTTCCAAAGCTGTTCCTGCATCAGTTCAGTATAATGGCATGGAGCAAAGCCTGTGCTTTCAACAGACAGCGCTTAAGAAGTAACTTTTTAAAGGCAGTTAACCTTTCAAATTTAACAGAGATGAGACTGACAGAATAGTATGAAAATTATTCTTAAAACTGACATTTTAATAGAGAGTGACTTTTTTTTTTTTTTTGCAAGCTATCCTATAGAAAGCAACTGTCAGGATGTAACTCTGCTCAATATAGAGGATGGCTCACAAATCAATCGAAAGGTCAATACATATTTTCTCTCTGAAAAACTTTTCCAGAGGGAAACCGCTCCATCAGTATAATGCTCGTTCTGATCTTCCTGTCCCCATCCTGCTCCCCCAGTCCACAAGTCACATGGGTACCCGCTGCTGAGGTGACATTGAAGCTTGAGACTTTCTTTTGTGTTGTGTTTCTATTGTTGGGGGGCAATTGCGCTTGTAGGACCTGGGGGAAGGTGTTCGCTCAGGCTCCCTAGTCTTTCAGAGGCAGATGTCATCACTGAGGGGCAAGGAACATGCAAAAGCAGGCAAATACATAACCCCTGGACCTATACAGAGCACACAGCAACCTTTAAACCCACCGCTCCTGAGTAACTATCAGTCAGTTCATGGGCTCATGGGGACGGCCAAGAGCTGCGTCCCCGCAGCAACTCCTCGCTGCACCTTGAGAGCTCTGCTGCTGAACGAGCCGCCTTCCAACTGAGGACTAACAGATGCATTTACCACACGCCAATCTGTCTCTGTCTGGGTCCTTCCCCAGCCCCCATCATCACCCTATTCAAGAATTTGCAAAGTATTTAAAAATAGCAGTAAGACTAACAATCTCTCTTTCTTTCCTCCCCAGCTTGTAGCAGAAATAGCTTGATTAGTGTACAGCTCTGATGCTTCAAGGGGAGAGCAACGAAACCGCGGAGCTTGCAGAGCAGCTTTTCAGCTTTCTCCAGGCAGCAATTGCTGGCTGCTTCGCTGAAGCACCGGCTCTTCAAAGGAAGGCAGGTTTTGGATCAAGGACTGCTTGTTCTGCCACATGCCTTCTGAGGTGGATTTACAATGGGGAGAGAGGCACTGCCACATGTGTGGACCTTGGGAGATACATGCCCACCTCCCCTCTGCACTAACTGCTGTCATTTGCTCAGCCCATCCAGAAGGCTGGGGGAAATTTTCTGCCTATGGGGTTTCTGTCCTGGAGATAGAAGCATGGTTAAACAGAAAATACTCAATAGAGCCTGTAAAAAYAGTCAATAGGATGTAGCCTGATCAGGGGATTGGCAGGTGAGACCACTGGGGCCTCATCTCATTCCTCAGACACTGCTTTAGGGGTGACTTCAAAGAAATTTCTTGTCTGCTCCAGACAAGCACAAAGTGGATTGGACTTGCTTGGTTCACAAAGGTTTCGCTTACTTTAGCTCATAAAGTTAGCTCATAAAGAAAGAGATTCATATTTAGAGAGGTTGTGCGCTGCTATTGCCTCACAGTGCTCTAAGGCCACGGAGCCATTTCAGCTGTGGGCAGGAATCTTGATGGGCTTTTTCAGTAGGTTTCCCTGCTACTGCCTCCGCATCCGCTCTCTGCCCTCCTCTGGGTCTCCTGGCAGCTCCTCCTGCTTTTCTGCACTTTTTGTGACAAGCTTCATGTCAGCTGGGAACCAGTAACAGCTATATTTGCTCCTCTGCTACCTTGAGTGCAATGAGGAGATAAGTCCTCAGTACAGCTGCTAAGACTGAGGAATCCAGAGCCCAAAGTCACTCCATTGCCTGCAGCTGAGGATTTTGGATCCAGGGATGTGGTCTGTAGTTCGCCTCCAGGATGAGCYGTGGCTCCAGGTGTAGCAGGGGAACAGTCACATCTAAGGTTGTAGACATACAAAGGGTGATTCCAGAACATGACTAAGTAACCTYAAGAGTTGCCAGCACTCTTGAATCTAAACTCTTTCTCCTGCCTTCACTCTCTGAAGAGACTCCTGGGAGTGAAAGTCCTTCCTAACGAGCTTCTTCCAGAAAAGTCCCAGGGTTAAGGTGTTCACCCAAGACTCAGGCCCAAGTCACTGATCATACAAGACATCTGTAGCTAGTCCTCACAGTCACTTATCTCCTCTGCAGAAGGAACAATGATAACATCTCTGTCCTGTCTCATGGGCATAGAGAGAGATACAATGCATTACAGGGGGAGGCTTAGATCAAGGTGCTGCAGGCTTATTCCCTGCTTCTGCCAGGAGTGCAAGGTTAATTTAGATATCTGCTGAACCATCTGTGATGAAGAACCCAGCCATTTCCTGAGCCCTTGCACTGGCTTTGGGTCCCAAGTGCGCAGGACTGTTCTGCAACCTGGTGATTTTTGCCTCTAACGCTGAGAAAGGCTGCATTGCTGCTTTGCTCTCTCCAGGTGCTGTGATGCCCAGGGCAGGATTGTTTCAGCCCTCAGCATACCTTGTTAAGGAGAGAAGATTCCTGGCCACACTGGCTGAAGGAGAGGTGGGAAGAGCAATGAGTGAGCACAGCAGCAGGGMCTCCTTGTGGAAAAACACACCCAGCTCTAGGTGTCCATCCCTCTAGTGAGGAGAAAGGCAGGTGAGTGACCTGGTGTCCATGCACCTGCCACACTGCCCAACCCGGTTCCCCTCTGCATTCTGCTTTGTAAATGTCACCTGGACTCTAAAATGCCATTTGATGTCTTTCTTTCCAAGGTCTTTCCAGCAATATGTGCTCCAGGAATGCAAAGGAGACTTGTCAACTGTCTTAAGGAGATGACTGTCTTGTTTGCTCCTGAGACTGCCTCACAGGCCAGAGTTTCAAGGCCTTTTGCCCTGCTTAGCACATGTCACAGCAGGAGCCCGTTACCAAAGGGGGAAAATGTGTTGCTGAAGCCAAACCTGATCTGCAGTCCCCCCAGAGCCTGAGCTTGAGCTACCTGCTGCGCCCCTGCATGGGCTGCAGACAGGGGCACCCCTCCAAGAGCAGATCCTGGGACACGGCAGTCACAGCCATCAGGCTGGAAGCCGGCTGAGCACTTAGCAGAGCATGACAGCCCTCACTCCCCGTGCTGAAAGCATCACAGTGGCAAAGGACAAGCCCCAGGATCAAGCTGCCTCCTCCAGCACATGCAGCTGGTTCAGCTGCCCACTGTGACCAGTCCTGTGGCCAACCTTTGAAACCCTCCAGCAGGGGCTGTGGCAAAAGTGGGTTGCACTAATGCTCTTTGCAAAGCACAGAAGGGAAACTGAGGCATGCAGCACTGGTGTGATCCATCAAGCCACGAGTGAGGAGAGCAGCACCTAGAGGAGCTGTGCCTAGAGCTCCATAGCACCTAGAGGAGCCGTGCCTTGAGGCTCCGCATCCTGCCAGGTGCGTCTGCTTAGCACTAGCAACACTCACCATTTTTGTGGTGGTGTTGGGCATCTTGTCCTTAAAGTGGACAGAGTTGAAGCAGGAGGTGAGAAATCCTATATCCAGTTAATAATAAAAAAAATAAATAAATAAAACAAAAGCAAGCAAAAGCTTTCAATCCACCACACAACCAGGCGAAACGCTGCACCCTCCCAGTCCCAGCCCCGGGTGGGAATTGCAGAGCAGGGGGGTAGGGATCGGGGACGCGGCAGCAGCGGCTCTCGGAGGGGAAGGGGCGCCGGGGGGGCGGCCCGGGGCTGCCGCCCGCCGGGGCGGCGCTGCCGAAGGATGCGCCGGCCGCGCCTCCCTCCCCCCATTCCCGCTGCTCCCCTCCCAGGCCGCCGCCTCTCCGCGCCGCTCCTTCCCGCCGCCCCATTGAGGGGKCGCGGCGGGAGGCTCCGCGGCAGCGCCCGCCGGCGCGGCCCGAGAGCGGGCGCGCGGAGCTGCCGCGCGCGCTGCGCGGGGCTGCGCGGGGCGCCCGGAGCCGCCGCCGCGGGAGAGCCGAGCGGAGCCGAGCCGAGCTCAGCCCAGCCCAGCCGAGCCCAGCCCCGCCGGGGCTGCCCTCTTCCCGCTGGAGCTGCGCCGGGAGCCGCGGAGCCAGCGCAGTTCGCCAGGTACTCGGGATCGGGATGCAATGCGATGGGATGGGATGGGGGAGCATCGCGGAGCGCAGGTGACCTTGCCGTCCCCCGGGTGCCCAGCGGCTTCCTTGCTACCATGCCGTGCTGGGAAAGAGCAGGACTGAAAGCAGCCTCCCCAAACTTTGTCCTGGTTCAGCACCCAAATCTGGGTGTCAGCCTCATGAGCAGCCCCAGTCTTTCCCCCTATCTCCTTAACCCACCACTTAAACCCCTTCAAAATGTGGAATATTCAGCATCCACATTGGAATTTTCCAGCTTTAGGGTGATGCCACCTGTCTTGATTTTCTTTCCACCCATTGCTATAGCATTTGAGGGAGTGGGGGGGAGGTAGGTTCCCTAACTGGGTTATCAAAATGCAGCGTCCCAGGCACATCACTCCCTCAGCGAAAGGTTGTATTGTGGCAGAAGCAGGGGAAGTGAAAGTACAGAGAGTCAACCAGCCCTCTCTAGAAAGAGTAAGTTTGGGATAGATGTTTGTAGGTGGATTGTAAAGTACTTGCTTTGTCCTCCTGTCACTTGCCCTGTCCAGCTTGGGGCCAGGGGATGGGGAAGCAGGGCTAGGAGCCAGTGCACAGGAGATGGAGCAATCCCAGAGGTGCTGCAAGGCTGGAAGAAGCAGCCGGTCCCTCAAGAAACCTGCAGGAAGACCTAGTATGGGGCTAATTTCTGTGAGCACTTGGGGGAAGGAGTGTTCGGGCCTTCCAGGGAGCAAAGCTGGCACCAAGCATCTCTGTAGCACAGCAACAAAGCTTGGGAATAAGCATCTGTTCAGCAACTTAGAGCTTGCACAGCAAGTGAGTGGGGGAGCACAAGCAATGCAGCGTCTGCAGGTGCGTTGAGCTCCTTCCTTGGACAGGAAGGAGGCAAAAGGATACGCACAAAAAGCGTATGTGCAGAGAGCTCAGGTGGGAACAGTAGCTTTGCATGTAAGTCTGCTCCTCCACCTCTTACCTGGTTCAAATCTTGTTTGGTGCAAGTGGGGAAAAATGGCTTGCGAGGTKCATGCCGCGCGATCCCGGACTGCCAAAGGACAGTTCCTCTCTTAGGGAGAGCCTCAGACAAGCCTAGGGAGGAGATGAGATGGGTGCAGAGAGGCAAATCCCAGCAAAAAGACACCATGCTTACTCAGACATGGGATACATTAGTAAGGAATTACATGGAGATCGGTTCCAGGTGGTAGGAAAGGTTGTAGGACATGGAGGGGCACTGTCAGAGTTGGAGATGACCACAGAGGCACTGCTTCTGTCTGTAGCTGTGCCTGCCACCAAACCCCTTCTCCCCGCGCCTTACAGCAGGATGTGGGGGTCAAGGTAGCTTTTGGTTGATGTCTGCTCCATGATTTCCTGGGTCACTTGGGCTATATGTGAGATGTGCTCTATGGATAAGTGCTAGTTGCTGAGCATGCAGTGCCCCGGCACAAGGCCAGGAGCTTGGTGACCGTGATTCTGTCCCTGCCTCCTGGGAGCTACTTGGGTATCATTTTCAGGGCACTTCAGTCTGCACTGAATTAAGGTTTGCAGGATGGTTAGTGTCAGAGGTAGGTGCCCTCAGCGGCCAACATACTGTTGAGTATTTGAGAAAACAGAACATATCAAATTAAAGCTCTTGACTTCTCTGTTGTTTTCAATGTATTTTTAATAATTACAATAATTGATAAGACATTTAGTCAACCTTGCAATTCCAAACCAATTCAGCCCGCTGACACAGCACAGCTGAATGCAGCCACCTTCACGGCCTCAGCCTGACTTGCAAGACCCCAGACAAACATGGGGTAGAAATTAAAGCAGTGGAGCTGAGGGCACTTGCTCTCAGGGAGAGATTTTCTTAAAAGATGAAAGGCTCCCGCACCTGTGGGTCTTATTTCGGGGTCATTCAGGAAGACTGTTGCTTAGCGAGCTGTACAAAGCTACAGAATAGCTAAATGTGTGTGAAAGAGAATATACCTCCACGTCACAGAGCCCTGTCACCTTTAAATTCACGCTGCTCCTGTGATTCAGACACGTCTCTGTGACTAGCACTCCAGCACTGTTCCGTGCTACCCTGCCTGCAGCGTGTCCAGGTTGGTACCAGGCAGTTCAAAGTCGTGCTTCCCAGACACGCAGTCTCCTTTCTTCTTGCCTGTGAGACCCTCTCCTCTGGTAGAAGTGCCTTCTTGAGGGGATCCTCCCTCTGCTTTAGTGACAGGCCAGGATATATCCCTAGGATTTGAGAGACGGATGTGTCTAGGATACAGCTGGTGGCGGTGAGAAGTGGGTTTCCTGCAGCCTTTATATCCCAGGCCTCTTTCCTTCCCTCTTCATCATGGGATGAAAGAGACCTTCACCCTGCCCCTGCTTCATAGCTACAGCTCCTGATGCCCCTCTCCTTCAGGGTGCCAATGCTGCAGGCACCATCCCTTCCAGCTCCCCACCAACACATAACCTAGCTCCTCAGAGCAGCATTCCCATCTTGTGAACCCATCTATCTTCTAGAGGTTTTCCAAGGCCTCTTCTTCCTCCTCTTTAGCGTCCCCCTTTGTCCTCTCAGTTCTAGCAAGGCAGTGTTTGGCAGAAATAAAGACAGCTCCTGAAATGCACTGTGAGCCTATGTATGCCTGTGAGGGATTAGATATTCGATAGGCTCCAAATATGCCCTTTACTGAGCATGCAAAATTGCTCTCAGAAAGCTTTGCAATTATTCTGCAGGATGTACACAGGAAAGATGATATCTGTCCCCTTCCTCCTTGTATTTAATTATTCCCTCTACAAGAAAAAGCCTAAAAAAATGGTAATAAGCCAGACTGGAAATGGAGGTCTAACACACCTACAGGGCATTAGAGCAGAATGATTTTTAGACTTCTTTTTCTCTTCTCTTCTCTTCTCTTCTCTTCTCTTCTCTTCTCTTCTCTTCTCTTCTCTTCTCTTCTCTTCTCTTCTCTTCTCTTCTCTTCTCTTCTCTTCTCTTCTCTTCTCTTCTCTTCTCTTCTCTTCTCTTCTCTTCTCTTCTCTTCTCTTCTCTTCTCTTCTCTTCTCTTCTCTTCTCTTCTCTCATGTCCTTTATGCCTAATACTAAGTATTGTGCTCATCAGCACAGCTTTCCACCCCAAGATCCCCAAGTGCCATGCATATGTGATGAAGAGCACTCGCTGACCACATACAGAACTGAGCGTGGAGCAGGGGTGGCCGTGCTGACACAGGGAGACACTGCCCCCCACGGCGTCGTTGCTGAGACAGCCCCAGAGCGCCCATCTCCCAGATGAGTTCTGCGTCTCTGTGCTCGTGGAGCTGGGAAGTGGTTCAGAATAACAGGACTGTGATTAAAACCGACTGGTGCCATAGGAGACTCATAAATACAGAGCACAGATGAGGCCTAGAGCCAGTGTCACCCTCCTCAGCAGCAGGCATGACTGCRAAGACCCTGTTCTTCAGAAGGGAAATCAGACCCTTCAGAAGGGAAATTCAGAAGGGTCAGACCCTACTGATTTCCCCCTGAGCTGGAATCTTTCTCCAAATGGCACCCAAGCTTGTGACCAATATGTTTATAAAGAAGTTGCTTCTTTATCCTGGTTTTTTTTTTTGTTTTGTTTTAAACTGAGCAGGCTCATAATTCAGACCTCGGTTAAGAAGTCTTATCTAGTTCACTCTCAAGTGACATCAATGTTCCTGTAGGTCTAAAGAGCTAGAATTTATCTGCTTTTGCCAGTATTGGCAAGTGTTCAACCACCTGCCTGATTGGCTTCCTCCATTGCACAGTGCTTGGGGCTGCCTCAGTTCCTTCTCCCCTAGATAAAAATTTGCACTCTGCAGATTCTTCAAATGTATGAAATGCGAGCAAAGTTTCCCCAGGAAACAGAGTTTCCAAGGGCTGAGACGCAGAGTTGGAATCCACAGCTGCAGCAAAGGGGACGTTATATTTTTCTTGCTGTTTGTCCCTTCTCTCAGCAGRTAATCCCACAAATGCCTTATGCACTGAGGGATTTGTGAAGGTGACGCCAGTAGCGACATTAGGGTGGAAAAACAACAAAGCCATGAACATTATGGAATGGAAAATGAATGCTTTTCTGCRTCTCTCTTCTTAGTAGGTGAACTGGGTTGCGTTCAGGAAAAAAAAAAAGGCAAAAGGTAGCAATTTGGTGATTAAAAAAAAAAAAAAAAAGTCTTTTGCCTTGGAAAGCATAATGACCTACAGAACTCATGGCCACTGGATGCTGCGGAGGCTGATTCAGGTACAGGATTCAAGAAAGGAGGAGGCATTTTGATGGATCATAGACCCATTGTCAGATAGGTTGGAGCCTAAAGATTGAGATCTACTTTGGACTGACTACCCTTTCTCAATTGTCTAGCATAGGATTTCTTGTACCTTCTAAGATGCACAGTGTTGATCAGTGTAAGAGGCAGAGGACAARAGGAGACAGACATGCTTGAGTGAAAATCACTGGGACAATTCTGATATTCATTTCTATGCAGAAGTGGAAAAAAATATGTTTACCAGCCTCTGTGCTGACACTTAGCTCACATTGGTTTGTTTTTATCAGCTGGAGAGGGTTCTGGGTAAGCTCTAGTGAGATTTGAGGTGATCCAGTAGTGCTTACACAGCTGCTTTCCCTGCCTGTGCTGTTGATCTGAAAAGAGTGCCAGCAGCCTGGCAACTTTGTGTGGTGCTGCCTTATGAATAATGCTGCATTGCAAAAGAAAACGGTGTTGTCCCTTCTTCGGATGATATCCTTTGGCACTGAGAGCAAGGATACTTATTCCTGCTGCTAGCCAAGTGAAGCACTGATATTACTTGGAGCTAAGCAGGGTTAACAGTCGGACATAGTTAGCTTTGGTTAAAAGATTTTAGAGCAGCTATGCTGTCTCATTCTGCAAGTTCACGGTGGGTTTGTGTGTGGGAGTGCAGGGCACACGGGAATCATGTATTGCTAGCGAAGCAGGATTGCTCCTAGGCAGCCCTTGTGTGGGAAAACACGAAGGAAAAGCCAAGGGCCAGGCAGG